CTATCAGGGCGATTTAGGCATTTCTAGTATGTGTGTAGTGTGTGGTCTAGATACTTGAGAGAACTACTATTACTGGAATTACTTGCATACTTTTGAGTGTGTCACACATAATAACTTAACTCCTAATTACTGAATAATTTGTATATTTAAAAAAATATCTCTGTGTCATTTTACGTCTTGAGAGACGATCTTTTCCCTTTACAACTTCTTGTGTGACTAAAGAGGCCAATCCTTGATACACAATATACAAAAATATACAAACAATGAAATAGTACTAATGGTGAAAATGAATCCAAATATGAACTTATACACATTATCCAATAGATGAGACATAAAATAATAACTTCTGGTCCACACATTGAGTTACAACTTATCATTTTATAATTTAATTAGATAATTACTTGGTACTGACTTCTATAATTAACTTCTAACATGACTGTTCTACTCTAACTTCTCTAGATTGTCTTTACTTGACTTTTCTACATGACTTCTGACTTGAGTTGACTGTCGGCTTACTCAACTGCTCTCCTACTAACTCTCAGGTCGACTGCATACTAACTCGACTTACTAAAATCTGGTTCTCTCTTTCACATGTTTATCCAGTCATCTGATAACTAATGTTCACATGTTCATGTTTTCCTGCACTTTTTGTTACAGGCCAAGGACCAGATCCAAGAAGAAAAAGACCCCAAGGTCAAAGCTGAGTTGATGGGTATATTTGACAAAATGAAAACAGAACTCAAGAAAAATGACCAGCATGGACATTATTTTGATCGTAGTTCATCCAAGCAAAAGTTATGTGATGAAAAAGGATGGTTTAAATGTGAAGGACCTTTTGATGAAGATGCCTGTGATCAATCCCACATGATTAACCCATATTCTTCTAAACTAAGAAGACTTGGTTTTATGCATTGGAACCTTGACCATATGTAAGTTTAATTTCTCAACATTCAAAAGAATTGCACCAAATAATATAATCTGTGTCTATGCACTGTTGGAGACTTTATCACATCCATCCATCCATCCCAGCAGCCCTACAGCCCATGAGGGCTCTGGTCTGCTTCAACACATTCTTCCCTTTAAGATCTCTACTGAGCTTTTCGTCTCCATGCCTCTGCCTTTTGATTTTTGCAGGTATTCTACTTTTGCTCCTCTGTTCTCTAATAATTTTCAAGGTGACCTGCCCAACAAAGTCTGTTCTTTATTTATTTCCATCACTACTGGTTGGTCTTCATATAATTGGTGTATCTCTTGGCTAGTGCATGTCATCCATCCATTATCATCTTGTATAGCCCCATATATTTTTCTAACAGATTTTCTTTCCCAACCTCATCAAATAAAATTTACTCTGCCGTTCATGTTTTTTTAGATATTAAAATTGTCTTTTTTCTGGTTAATGACACTTGTTATAAAAAACATCCAGGAGAAAAATGAAACAAAGATGACTTTGTTTCAATAAATAAAACAATTCTAGAGAGCAAATAGAAAGTTTATATTAAACTATTGCATAATTATAAAAGAATGGAGTGACTGAGCAGTAGTGGTTTAACTTTGGTGGCGATGAGGGTTTTCTTTACTTGTTTAGTCTTTCCAACTAGTAAAAATGGCTTTTTAGCATTAATCTAAAAGTGGGTTTTCATTGTAGTATAAGACACTTTATCACTGTTTGCCTTTGGAATCAGAGAACTGATAAAACCGTAATATATTTATACATATTTTTTTAATCTTTACTATTACTCTCATTACCTGATTAATTGGAGTTATATAATAATTTTATAATAATAATAATAATTTTATTTATAAAGCGCTGTTAACAAACAAAATGTAGGCTCAAGGCGCTGTAACAACATTACAAACAAAAACATGAGAGCTAAAATAACAGTTAATCTAAAAAAAATCTATATTTCATATAGAATACCTTAACTGTTATTGAAACAATATTGTTTCGTAGTTGTTCTTCATGTTAATTAGATTTTTCATTTGCATTGACTATTTTTTAAATGTGTCCCAACAGATTTGTTTAGGTATATGTCTTAGAAATATGTTTCTGTGTTTCTGCATCTTATATCATTTCTTTGCCGATGACTCACACTTATACGATTCATCAGTACCCTCAGAGGTGTCGCATCTGGCAGAGAAAATCAGTGGTACCGTTGCAAGGGTGAGCGATTGGATGGTTGAAAATAAACTCAAGATGAACGAAGACAAGACAGAAATAATTAAGATTGGCACTAGGAACAATGTCTCAAAAGTTGAAAGCACAGATTCTCTCTTTATCACGAACTGCCATGTTCCTTTTGTCCATGTAGTGCGGAATCTTGGAGTTTTCTTCGACTCCACACTTAAGTCAGCTCTGCAAAGGTCTTTATCTGCAGCTGCGCAGATTAGGCCAGATCCAACCATATTTAACAACGGAGTCAACAAAACCGCAAACGCTAGCTGTGGCATTCATACTCTCCTGCCTTGACTACTGCAACCCTGTGCTAGCAGGTATACCTGATGACAAAATAGCCAAAAGCTGCAACGTATACAGAACAACGCCACTCGAATAGTTCTTAAAAAAACTAGACAAGATTCTGCTACTGTGCTCTTGCGCACGCTCCATTGGCTTCCTGTGAAAGCGAGAATCGATTACAAGGTCGCCACACTTTGTCATCAGTGTATATATAACAACGAGATGCCCTTGTACCATAGCGAACTGATTACTCCATATGTCCCCCAGAGAGCCCTTTGCTCAATGGACTCAACGCTTTTAAGTGTGCCACGTTTCTCCCTCAAAAGCTACGGTCTGCGGGCTTTTTCAGTTCACGGACCAAAGGTTTGGAACTCACTCCCCATTGATCTCAGACAGACAACATGCTACACCACTTTTAAGAAGAACATTATGACCTATCTGTTTAGAACTTTTTTAGATTAACTGTCACTTTAGCTGTCATGTTAGTGTTTGTAATGTTATTACAGCGCCTTGAGCCTACATTTTGTTTGTTAACAGCGCTTTATAAATGAAATTATTATTATTATTATTATGTTATGAGTGATTTAGTAAGCTACATTAATGTTTGTGTTTTGGTGTTAGTATATAAATAAAACCCAACTTTTCTTATTGGTGTTTTACATGTAATATTTATCTAAGGGGAAATAATTTTTCTTTACTTTTTTTCAGAATTGAGAAAAAAAGGGAAGTTATTCCTAAACTGGTTGAAGCTGCAAAAAAGAAGAGTGTCAAGAAACAGCTCAACCACATGGAAGTCTATAAACTCTTGTTTACAAAGGACAATTTGAAATTTGTTCAATATGAGTGTCATAAGAAAGAGGCCAGATCCCCAACAATCAATGTAGATGATTTTTACTTACATTAAAAAAGGTCATTTTGTATTATTTAATATATATCCTGCTGTTCAACATGAATTGTGAATTGTATCTATTGCTCATAAAACTCTCACAACTTTCCATTGTTTTAATTTATATCAAGTGCCATGTTGGTTATTATATGCAATATTAACTATGCATTATTCATGTATGTTATTCCATCTTTATTGTTAATTATTACTTTGCTTTTACATTTATTTACAGATTGTATAATCAAAAAACAGTGTTATTACATTTGCCCTGACTATCATTTGGAAAATCCAAAGTGTTTTCTGTGTGACCCTATATGGTAGTCTTCCGTTTAAGTTAACAAACTATCTACATTTCCAAGCCTTGAACACGGGTTGCAGAGAATCTCAAATTATTTTTGTTAAGAATATACACTTACTTGGCTAGGTCTATTCAAAAGGAACTGTTGGTAGTGACAGATGTTTATTTGATTAAAGAGCTTTGATTGTGTTGATTGATGCTAGGCAGTGCTGGGGTACAAGGAATGCTTTGGAAACAACAAAGATTTGTTTCTTGTTCCAAATAAATAACAAAAAAAAAAGGAAATATTTGTTTTTATGCCTTGTATTTTATTTGACACAATTATAATATTACTGTAAACTTGTTGTTTTTTATGCTAATGAATTTTATTTTTAGTGATTTATTTTTTATGTCATTTAAAACATGTCAACTTGTATAAACATGTATTTAAATATGTCTATTTTTTTTTAGTGTTTTATAATTAATATCACAAATGCCTTATATATTTTTAGATGAACTGTGATACTGAATAAATGACACAATTTTATGACTTCTTTTGTCAGTATTAACTATGAAGTCTGGTGGCTGGTTGTTAAAGTGATTTGCTTCCTAACTGAAGGGTTTCAAGTTTGAATCTTGATTCAAGACAGAAATTTAAATTAAGATTTTTCTGGGCCTCAATCACCCCCCCCCCCCCCCCCCCCCCCCTTATTCGTTTATTTTTGTTCTTATTACTTTGTTAGTCTAAAGGGAGATAAAATTAACAAATTTTCATGCTATTAACTTTCTATTTTCTAAAATCTGAAACTGCATAGAATATTTAATTGACAATGTCATTGATTACTTCAACTTTTTCAGGCAAGAGTGAGTTTATTCATTTCTATTTCTTTTCATAATAGTCAAGACAGAAGTCTAATTACAGTTTTCATTAGTCTCCTAATAGTATTGCATTCATAAGACGCTTGGGTCAAGATTCTAATCTGACACTCCTTTATTCATAAGATGCTTGGGTCTAGATCCTAATAGGACACTTCTGCATTCAGAAGACACTTGGGTCTAGATCCTTATCTGACACTCCTGCATTCATAGGATGCTTTGGTCTAGATCCTAATCTGATACTACAGCATTCATAAGACGCTTGGTTCTAGATCCTAATCTGATACTGTCGCATTCATATGACGCTTGGGTCAAGACCTTAATCTGGCACTCCTGTGGTTTTAAAATCTTGGAGCTCTGACTCAGCTCCTACTTCCATATAGACTCATGCCTCTTTGTCTTGAAGAGAAAATATTTTTTTGTTTTCTAAATGATCAAAAATCTGTAGAAAACATTTGATCAACAAATCTCTAATATAGGAATCACAAGAAAGAAAACAGACATGACTGAAAGAAGACACAATATTTTATTGAAATTTTATATCCACTCTCAAGATTCAAATCTAGTACATAAAAAGGACATACAATTCTACACTTTATAGAATCATTTTTCTAAATTATATTTATCTCAGTACATTCATTCAACCCAAAGAAAATTCGAGACAACTGAAAATTGTTGATTCTCAAATTTATTTTGATTTATATCCCTTTCTATAGTTTTAAAAGGATGACTTATTTCCCTTTGATCATCACAAAACAAATGTGTTCATCATTGCAGATAAAACAACATTTAATGAATCAGTTAATTAACAAAAATTTAAGACTCCTAGGCTTTCACTTCTAGTCTTTTGCAGAAAAAGAGATGTATCATTCATTAACTTCTTTGAATATAATATTATTGAAGTGTATTGAAACTTGCACTAGAAAGGCTACACTAGCTACCTACAAGATAGTATAGCTGGCCTATGTTCAACTACAAAATATGTTTAAATTAAACTACAGAAGTACATTTGTTTTGTTTAAAAATCTGCCGTGTATCATTGACGCTTCTAATGTGCCATACAGCTCTGCAATTATTTGTAAGATGATATTTTCTTTCTTTTCTTTTCTATAACAAATTGGGTTGTAGTTTTGTGTATATTACACCACTAGTGATCTAAACAATTCAATGCAGTGAAGTAACAATTATATACAGCAGCTACTCGTCTAAATTTAAGAATTGAAGTAATTAATAAGTCATTGATACATGGGGTAAATCATACATTTGTATAGCAGAATCAAATGTACAGGTTTAAAAACTTGATGCAATTATTTCCCCTTATGATAATGCTAAAACACCAGGTTATTTTACACAGATTTAACGAGATATTAGAATCGCATCTCAAAGTAAAATATCAGATTAAAATGAACAAAAGGTTTCTAGTAACGAAGTTTATTTCTAGCCAACTTTTTACTGAAAGATAAAATAATAAATATTTTAAAAAAATTACGAATCTAATCTTCTGTCCAAGTTTTCCTACATACAACTGACAAAGAATTAAATACAGAGAAAATATATATTACAAATGTCCCTGCGCATTTATTTCATTCAGTAGATATAAAATTTCAACACTATATTACTTCCGAATTTCTCTTGATTTTCTGAGGAGGAGAAAAGAATTAATAATTATTAATCATGATTTTTAAAAGACCAGAGGAACAAGACACATCTGCATGGTTTCTAATGGGTTGTAAACTGTTGAGTAGATACTTTTTTTTTTTTTTTTTTTTTTTTTTTTTTAGTGTTAGATTAAGCACTTCTTAACGGAAAGAAAACTGAAAAAAATTTAGTCTTAGACAAAACTAGTGTAGTTCTTGTGTTACAATAATGCCGCTTCAATTTTAATATCTGTATACATGAATTTCATGACTATTTGGCTTTCTATTCTGTTTTTATTCTAATAATGTTTTCTTTTTGGATTCTGAATCCAACATTATTTTTTTCACCTTGACACTGTTTTTAGTTAAAACTTCCATTCGTTCACTTAATAATTTTTTTTTGTGTGTGCTGTTTTGAATTTTCTATTGAAATGAGACGACTCTTAACGATCTTTTAGTTTGTTTCTATTTTCTAGATTACATCAGTGTGTACCAAAAAATACGCTAGAATCTTCCATTGCGTTATGGGATACCAACATCATTTTTGCATCACATTTACAGTTAAATGTTTCTCAATGTCATAGACTAGAAGTTTTCAATTTATGTTTACAATCGCATTTCAAATTGTGAAAATTTGTTAGCTCGAAATAGATCACGTGTTTGTCCCCCGTCCCCATGTTGCCCTGCCAGAAACTGCTAGTCAAGAATATTAATAAAAATTGATTAATTGCATTTAAATCATTAAGATATAATTAAAATAGATTCTAGCGTAATATTTGTTTGAAATTTCCCATTGAATACAAGACACTTTAGATTTATGTTAAAAGTAGTCTATATAGGCTATTCTAATTGATTTGATCAGAGCTGAAAAAAAAAAGACAAATACTAGTTTATGGTGGAGATGTTGCACAGAGTTGATTGGCCAAATATTAGAATTACTTCGGGTCAAATATAACGAGAGATGGAGGATCAAATAAAAGAGACAGAAACCCATTTAAGCTTGGCAACCACTGCCAGAAGCAAACAGTGGAAAATCTGGACGAGTAACATCAGCTTCCAAATCAAATTAAAACTATTCTTCGCTAGTGGACTCGAAACTTCTATATGGTTGTGAAAGTTGGACACTGAATGCTAAGTTGAAAGAAAAATGAGAGTAAATGCTACAGAAAAAATGCTGGGTATCAGATACCAGGAAAAGAAGACAAATGAGTTTGTACCATTACAAGCCAACACCAAAAAAAGAAATTTCTGAACTGTGAATAGACGAAACTGAGTGGTTCGGTCATATTGTAAGACATGACTCACTTTCACAAGTCATCCTTCAAGGTACAGTGGATGAAGCACAAAGAAATGGTCGTCCAAAGAAAAGCTGGCTGGGCAATGTAAAAGAATAGTCCAGCATCTCTAATTATATTCTGCTAAAAACAGCTGCTTATCGGGAAAAGCGAAGGGATTTTGTTACTAACACTGTCACAGCACCGCTACGAAGAAAGACAAGGGACATACGATTATAACGATTCAAATAGAAAAAAAAAAGATTCAAAGACACCAACTAAGATTTTAAAAAAATCTAAGCTAATCTAAACTAATAAAATGGTTTAGTATAGATACTAACTCTCCTGCTTCACTTCATTAAAAAAAAATACGATCATAGGAATTAAGAACTGAACTAATAGAATTGTGTTAGCACCTAAGTCAAACACATCTCTTGTGTGTTGTGTGATGTGTTGTCTAATTAGCCCAGTAAAATATGATCTTCACGTAATAGCAAAAAAAATAAAAAAATACATTCTATTCCAGCGATTGAGGACATTAATATATGCTATGTTAAAAGATCTTAAAAGATCTAGGCAAACATATCACACAAAATACTGCAGACTCATAATTTAGGCACACATACACACGAGTGGATCAAAACACACTTTAGGTAGGCTAACATAGGCTACATTGTGATGACTTTCAACATTTATATTACCTTGTTCTACATCAACCACGTTTTGTTTCAGTAAATTTAGATTCTTGTTGTCTCGCCATCTGATCAAACAAAAGTTTTTGAATTAGAAAAACGTTAGTTAAAAAAAAGATAAGAATGACGACAATAGAGCTGAAATGTACCAAAAAAAAAAAGAAAAATGACGACAATAGAGCTGAAATGTACAAAAAAAAAAGGGAGAAGAATGACGACAATAGAGCTGAAATGTACCAAAAAAAAAAAAAGAAAAATGACGACAATAGAGCTGAAATGTACAAAAAAAAAAGGGAGAAGAATGACGACAATAGAGCTGAAATGTACCCAAAATAAAGAGAAGAATGACGACAATAGAGCTGAAATGTACAAAAAAAGAAAGGGAAAAGAATGACGACAATAGAGCTGAAATATACAAAAAAAAAGGGAAAAGAATGACGACAATAGAGCTGAAATATACAAAAAAAAAGGGAAAAGAATGACGACAATAGAGCTGAAATGTAACAAAAAAAAAACGGAGAAGAATGACGAGAATAGAGCTGAAATGTACCCAAAAAAAAGAAAGCGTTAAAACGAGACCAATTGTTATAGTAGGCCTTAACGGTTACCTGCGACGTTGTAACCTGTGACGTGGCAACGAGCTATTGGCCTAAACTGCTTACAGGTTGCTATGTCACAGGTCCGTGTTGAAGCCTACTAAGACTAAGACTAAGACTACTTTATTGATCCTTACGGAAATTTGTTGTGATTACAAGGACTCTTTTCTCATATAAAGACAACACAACAGAAAAATACACATAAATACAACAGACAACATAAAAAGTTCATTCAGCGACTACACACAGGTATCTTGGTGCATTTCATGTTCCCTGATCAATGAGTGGCGGTGATAGAGTCTGACCGAGTGAGGTACGAACGAGTTTTTGTACCGCTCCGTTCTTGTTTTGATTGACAGCAGTCGTCCACCTCGCGACGACCTGACGTAGTTCTGATGGAGCGGGTGGCCGTTGTCTTCCAAGATTTTTTTCGGTTAAAAGAGCATCGATCATCCCCATCACTATCTTCACTTATTTTCCGGAAGTCCATGGCTGACTGGTCACGTGGTAAGCTTCTGGACTGTCGGAGTTCTACCATCTCCTATAGAACAGCAGGAATTTTAGTCCAGGGCTTGATAATTTTCATTTCTGAAGGATCATCTCATAACGTCAGCAATTTGTTTCCTTTAGCTCGGCCTTAACAGTTCCCTGTTACTTTTTCGTTTCCTTCTTTTGGTGCTTGCCATCTGAAAATCTTCATGTCTTGACGAGTCTCTATTTTTTCCCCTTTCAACGCCTATTTAATGTAATGCCTCTGGTGTAGATAAACACAATCTTATTCTATTTCTTTTTACACGAATGTGGCTGTGGAGACTTAGATTTGTCTTGATAAGCTGATTACATTTGAGCTATGGATATTTTGTGCCTTGAATAACTTGATTTGCTCTGAGTTTCTTTGGCTGTTTTATTTTTAGCGGCCCCCATAAGGGGAAAAAAGCCGCTATTAGGTTTGTGCAAAATGTCCCTCTGTCCGTCTGTCACACTCAGATCTCGAAAACTAGAAGAGATATGAAAAATATTATTTCACCATTAAATGCGGCTTGAAAAAGTTTAGACACAACGGCTACTTTTGATTTTCTAAAAGCAAACGTTGAATTTATAAAATTAATTATGCAAGCGATTTTTTCATAAAAATACACCAATTCTAAAACAATTACGTAAATATAAGGGAGGCAATGTTGTAATATGCTAACAAAGGTGAATATTATCCGTGTATTTTAAGTATAACTAAATCAAATATATTTATAAAATGTACAAGAAATGTTTACAACAAATATAAATAATAGTTAAGAATGTTTTTTTTGGTCAACTAGCTGCTAAAATTAAAAGAAAACGTTTTTGTTTGTTTATAAAGGCTAATAATGCAATTTGTATGTAAATATTACGCACATTTTTTAAAATGGACATTTTATGCAGCGACTTTTGTGCAGTAGCGTAACGTCGTAACATGCTACGGGGCTAAACCAATGCCTTAATTAAACTTTTAAAAAAAATCAGATTTTATTTATTTTTTGTTTAGTGCCCCATCCTAATAAAAGAAGCTTATTTGTGTGCGTTTTGTCTGTTGGTCGGTCTGTCCGTCACGACTAGATTAACAAATAATACTAAAGGCTATGGTAAATCTGATTTAACCTTTAATTTTTCATTCAAGAATATTGCAATAAGTTTAAGTATCTATAATAGATTGTTCCAGAGCTTTTGTGAAAAACAAATCAATGCCAACGAATATTTGTT